AAACTGGTTTTCCAGAAGGCTGGATCTTCGAAGATCTATGGGAAGCCTCCATGGTCATATTCGGCATCAGCATGCTCGATAACCTATAACCCCTATAATATTTTGGTTCAAGACCTTCAGGTTTAACTAGAGGCAAGAAAGGGTTAAGTAACACTGTTCAAATGCAACACATTAAGTAATATTTACAGCACAGGGTAGTACTTGTGTAACTAGCACAAAAAATGCAGAATAGCAGTTGATTTTATTCTCATCTGTTAATTTGACAGAATATAAAGTAACGGAAAAAACTCAAACAGAAAGGATAGTGACATTACAAGCAGAACGAAAGAATAGCACTGCACTTTAAAGTTGAACGATAAATTATACTGTTGAATGTAGTGGAAATCTAAGTGGACCTTCCGGAACCCAATATCGCATGCATCCTGACGAGATCTTTGCATCGTACAGTGCAACTCATCATGCTGCTTTCGAATATGTAAAAATCTCAATGATAGCTTATCCACAAAAAAGTCATCAAATTTTGATGTGATATAATTACGTTTTGTCTTTGCATTATTCAACAAGCGAAAACATGCGTGCCTCTCCGGTACACAATTCGTACTTACAAATTAGGGCTGACTTTGTTCAAAATATTTCTTAGTTTTACATCCGCCAATAAGTGTTAAACTGATCGACCAAAGAGACTTCGGAAGAAATAGAAAGAAATGTACCCAAGAAATTGAAAGTAGGCATGCAAGGGTTACGATTATTTACCGTTAACCGTAACCCTAAATAACAGCTTAGTGTATATTTGGTTTTTAGCTCTTTGATATTTGTTTACATTAGAAGTAGACAAGGATGGTCTTTGCCCTGACGTTTTAGTGCTTCTGCTATAGTGACAGTCTACACTACGCTGCACAAAAACGGTTGTTAAGTGACGGCATCGACGAATATCTCATTAAACACTGTTTGTCATAGTAATTTGACTCTTTTAAACAAAATTGTTGGCCTTTGCAGCATGAATCTCAGCATTGCATTCAATGAATTTGAGTACCAGACAAGTTTGAAGTGCATTCGTGCAGCACAAGCACTAAAACGTCAGGGCAAAGACCATCCTTGTCTAACTATTGCCGCACTTTTGAAGAAATGTGCCCTTTTCTTTGATTTATTTTGTTTTTTCATGGAAAAATCAATTAAAATCGATTTTTTTTGAAAAAACCTATTTAAATCGATATTTTTAAAATTCTTTGTCGAAAAATCTGTTTAAATTAATTTTAAAAAAGATCCATTTAAATTCGTTCTGCGTAGCTTTTTGTGTGAAAAATCTATTTAAATTTATTTCTGTCTTAATAAATCTGATTTAAGTTTTTGAGAAAATCTATTTAAGCGCATTTTATCTTTTATTTGGAGAAAAAAGAAATTCAAATTAACCTTTTACAAAAACCAAAATCAGATTCATTGAGAAAGAAATGAATTTAAATAGATCTTTCGCACGAGACGTTATGCAGAATGGATTTAAATGCATTTTTTTAAAAATTAATTTAAACAGACTCTCTAAAAGAATTCTAAAATAATGAATTTAAATAAGCTTTTTTCAACAAAAAAAATCGATTTAAATGAATTTTTGCATTAAAAAAAATAATAACTCAATTTTTAACGTTTAACATTTTTAACATCAGGAACATCGATTTAAATTGATTTTTCCATGAAAAAAGAATGAATCGAAAAAAATGGCACATTTCTTTAAAAAGTGCCGCAGTGGGACTTCTAATGTAAACAAATATCAAAGAGCTAAAACCAAATATACACTAAGCTGTTATAAAGCGGTTATTTACGGCTACAGTTAACCGTTCGACTGGTTATTTACGGTTACGGTTATGGCCGGTTACGGTTAACTGTAACCGTTGGATGCCTAACTGAAAGATTAATCTAGAGCTTACAAGTTCTAAGAGGAGATTAAGAAAAGATTTGACCTCAAAAATCTGCGGTTGTGAGCCTTATAGATGATTTCTCTTTTGTTATTGCACGAAGAAGCATGGATAATAATCACTTCGTTCTATTTTCTCTTTGGAAAACAAATATACGACATATTCTTTACTTTCTGTTCTTTCTATCGTTGACGTCAATATTGTCTCTGATTTTTGTTTCTTCACATGAGGAGTTACCCTATTCACTTACACACGTCTATTTCAGATAACCCTATTGTACCCGTCGAGTAAACGCTCTGGAGATAAACAAATGAACAAATTCGAGTTCATTAAACAATTATATAGTCCATTTTTACATTGTGCATGACCGAGACCACATGCTGAAAATAAATCTTGCATATTCAACAGAAAGTCATTTCCGTAGGTATAATTTTGTTTTAGCCCAAAATATTCATATTCATTGCAGGATAAATTTTTGATGTACACTGTGGGTATAAAAGCACCTTTGCAAAGCATTGCGTCATAGCAAATGTAGTCCGGTCTAACATTTCCGTAAGTTCTGTTGCTCACATTGTATATCACTTGTACAAATGGATAAGTAATTGAACTGTTCCATGGAAATAACAGTAGTTCTGAATGACATTTTATTAACATCTGATTGAGAATTGTTATATCTCCATTTACTTCTTTACAATAATCGAAAGTTGTACTTCTTCCAGTCCAAAAGGGGAATGAACAAATAAAATAGATCCAACATGTATTATTTATATAACGACTATATATTTTACTTAAATGCAGCTGATCATATTTATTCCGACATCGTCGATCGGAATGTTGGAAATTTTGAAGACATTGCCCATCACCGCATGAGAAATAGGTCGAACCACAAATATGGTCATCACAGTCGGGGTTTTCCAGAAGTAAACACTCATCGTGGACTAAGCGATCATTAACACCATCTATCTCATCACTGTAATCAAGGCAATCTGGATCATAATCGAATGAAAAACTTTTATCAATACATAATCCGTTTCTACAATGATATTCAAATTTATCGTTACATTGATTCGATTCCAACTCTAAACAATGTTCTTCATCCGACAGATCAAAACAATCAATTTTTCTATCGCAAATTTCGCGCCAATCGAGGCATAAATTTGTGCGATTATTGATATCCAAACACATTCGATAACAGTTTCGGCTATCGGTAATCTGCTCAAACTCGTCAACTGTTGTTCTTTTATAGCTATAATAAGATTTAATTGATAGCGTTAATGTATCTGACAGAGATGGATTATTTGTGTATTTAAAGGTGTATTCACATTGTTCACCGAAAGATCCATTTTGAGTACAGTTGTAATAAAATCTATTGTTCGACATTGATTCATTGATGGTATCAAAATATGATTGATACTCTTCAACTTTCGTCATAGGTGCATACCAGTTGTATAAATCGTTGGCTGTTACTTGACTTTCCTTCAGTCGTTTAAATGAAACTGGAGTGCCACCATTATAACAAGTATCGAACTTTGATTCTGTTTCGTGATGATAATAAATATTATTCGGACGTTGACAATAGGTGAGTAAAACAAAAGGACCAGTTCCGGGTGATAGAACTGAATTCATATTGTAGTAGTACAAACAGTTGTAATAACACCATTGGGATGTGTGTATAATCGATAATAACTCTCAGTCAACTCAACTATAGTTATAAATACGCAGTAGTGAAATAACATTATCTTAACATCAAATAAAAGAAATCATGAGTTTGCATCAACGAGAAATTAATAGCATACTTTTATGATTACCGTATGAGAAGCATTAGTCGTGTAGATGAATATTAGACGAATCTAGTCACTAAAATTAACCACTTACTTTTCCTTAATAATAGTACTTTTTTCACTATGAAAAGCCATAATAAATGAGATATTTAGAAAAAAGTACTCTGCATAAACTAAGGACGTTATTCTATAAATATAAATATAAATGAACGTGATGATTATACAGAAGAATTGTAGAACTACATAGAGAAAAACAGAAAGAAGGAGAAAAAAGGAATCTATACATTCTTGCACTATTTTTGAGTGAAGCTGACTTGCACTATTCATAAGTGAATACATGAAGAATAGTTGACTATAGATCAACTTTTTATATTTAACATTTTAGAATGATTTTCTTTTCTTTTTCACATGAGACCAATGACTGAAAGAAAGAGAACCCTCGGAAAAAACGTACAGGGGTACTGATCTATCCGCACAGTTAAACTGTGGTGTCTTTGTACGAGTGGCTAAGAAAATGTATAGAATTTGCAAGAAAAGCCCTAAATTTATTTCTGTACGTTCTTTCAGCTTTGAGCTGGCAATGAACATTTAGGGCTTTTTCTGTAAATTCTATAACTTTGGAAAGAAGGGTCGTGTAGGGCTGGGAGATATCTCATTCTAATCAGTGATTTATGGGCTACGATTGTGCCTCATTAAAAGAAGGTCTTTTGAAAAACTAGTTTTCCAGAAAACCGGGTTTTCTCAGCACAGGAATGTAATATAAAAAAAACCACACATACTTTTGTTGCACATGGAACGGCGGTTCTAATGGCGTGTGAATCAGGTCTCTATCTCTTCACCAAAAAAGCTAGATACAGTTGCCATTTTAGGTATTACAAACCGAGCATTCCTACCGCCCCGGTTTCTGTACCGGATACGTTATATGCGATCAGGCTCTGGAGATCTTTTCTAGGCTCAGTTTCATACAAGGAAGCCGAATATTATTTCAAAAATCTTAAAAAATGCAAAGCAAAATAATAAGAACACATTTTTCGAAAAGATAGATTTTTCAAGTTTTTGAGCTCTTCTCAGTATTATTTTTTTTTCCTCAAAACTTTATTAAAATCAAAAAAGAAGGTCGGATTCGTGATCAACAACTCAGGACGGATCCGAATATATGTGTTAAAACGAAAAATAAAATTTGTGGAAACTTTGCATTAGCGGCACCTTACTCGGGATGCTTATTCCGAAGGCAAGTTCCTGAAACATCCTACCAGATCCGACGTCGGGACATGGCGGAACCCGACAAAATCTGGTACAATCCTACTGGAACCATGCCGTATTATGTCGGAATCCTGCAGAAATGATGCACAAATAATGATGCAATTGTTTGAGTGAGGGTGTGTCATGAATTCATTCATAATGTATTGTTCTTTATATGAAAGAATCACAGAATATGTTTTCGATAATGGACTTTTCATTGCAGAAGTTCCTCTGCATTGGGAGGTAGCTAGATCGCACTATTTCCTTTTGGATTGTACGAATTTAATCACGCAACCATGGTCGAATACATTCTAGTTTTCTTGATAGAATAGAACCCCTGCAGCGAAAAGTCCATTCTCGGAAACATATTCTGTGATTCTTTCATATAAAGAATAATACATTATGAATGAATTCATGGCACACTTTCACTCAAACAATTGCGTAGTCGATTTGCGATGACCGGAAATTAACGGATCAGACTGGTTCCACATATTGCATTCGATCTCCAGATCCTCCAGGATTCAGGTATCGGGAAGCGAAAGAACTGGAAGGATTCCGGCCTCGGAATCCGATCGGTCGTCCGAACTCCGGAAATCATCAGAATTAAAAGTATCCTACAGGATCCGATAGGGCGAATTCAATCTAGGTAGAGATTCTTTTACCGGTAATCTATAAGGTCTATTGTCTCTAGCTAATATTTTAACATTGCTGAAATTAATCGAATGATCCGTTTGAATAACACGTTTACTTAGTGCTGATTTAGGTGTAAAGTCAGCTACTGTTCTATTTGAATTATGTGGTGAATTCTTTTGCATGTTTGTCATAGTCGCTATACGTGAGCTTAGTCTTAAATTTTGCTGTGAATTTCTGTATACTCGTTCATTAATAATTTCTTTATTCTTAAAATTGGTAGTTAGAGAAGGTAGATTAGAAGTTATTTTCATTAAGACTTTAGACACACCTTTTTTGTGCTCATTTATACGTTTACTCGTTTGCCTCATACTTTTCCCCATCTAACTTAGCTAAATTTTGATATTTTAACTTGGATGATGAATCGGTTATTCGACAGCTCAGAATAAAGATTTATTAATAAAACAAAATAAAATAAGAAATGAATTTAACTGCAATTTATGATAAAACAGAAACTTTTATTGTAAAAATCCTACCATGAACAAAAGTCAATAAAAATATTATGAGAAAAGTGTGTCTGTTTCGTGTTTTATTTAGTAATTCTTCTCTCCCAATGATTGATTTTTTTTTCAATATGTGTAATAAGAGGTCTCTTACAAAAATATGCACCATTTCCACAGTGAAAAAACGTATGTTGATAATTATTAATCTGAAAATAGAGAAAATATTAGAGAAAACATATCTTTCTCTCTCTCTTTATATGGTTCTACAAGGTGAGGAAACATACGTGGCAAGTAAATGTTACCTGCATTTGTTATTTTTGGAATTATGGATGAAGTTCGGCAAGCATTCAGCTAATATCCCTTTTTGTCGTGCATAGGGAAAAAGGGATTTTATGTCATAGATATTCATTGAGAGGGACACTCCCTATTTACATGATATGTTCCACGTAAAAAACTTGCTCTCTGAGGGACCGGATTTTAGAGTTTGTAAAAATTTATTTTGATTAGAGGTTACTTTCATTAAGGCAGGCTTTAGACACGTCTTTTTCGTGCTCATTTTTATATCTACTCTTTTGCCTTATATCTTTCCCCATACATTCATGGAGGTCCTCTCAAGATAGTATTGTTTTCTGTTATACTAGAGCTTCTATGCCGTTCTGAGAAGTGCTATGAACAGTAAGTATTCCTTCTAACAGTAAAGAGTACTTCAACTTTTTATCATACATTGCCCCGAAAACCAGCAGAAATACGACACTTCTGCTCACCTAAGGTGTTTTCTTCGACTTTTCCGTACCAGCAGTGTTCAAATTTTCAAAAAAGAAATTTCCCTCGTAAATAAAGCAATTTCAGAAATTTCGACAATGCAAAAACAATAAAATGAGAAAATACCGAAATTACCGTATATTCCAACATACAATACAAATTCATCCATGAACCAAATACAGAAATTTACCAGAAATTACCTAGATTCACTACTTCCTCAAAACCAAATTCCCTAGAAATTTTGGTAATTATCCACTAACGAAAAAGAAAATTTTTCAGTAATTTCCGAAATTGCAAACATTTTCAAAACTAATTACTAAGAATTCACTACCAAAGTAAAACATTACAAGATTGCGCAAAATACTCGAAGCAGCAAATAAAAGGAAACTTCCAAAAATTACCACAACATCAGCAGGAATTTTCCATACACATTCAGAAAATACTCCATCACGCAAAAGAAATTTCCGTAAACTTCCAAAGTCTATTACGGTAATTACCCGAAATTTCCCACACTTTCTGTAAACTAAACGATACCGATACGGTAATTATAGGGAAATTACTGGAATTTCTATTAATTATTAGACAGACATATCCATTAGAATAGGCACCCTATCTTGGAAAATAAGAGAATTTTTGGAAATTTTGGTAAATACGGGGAAATTTCTGAAATATCTATTATTTATTAGAAAGACATATCCATAGGAATTACTAGAATTTCTATTATTTATTAGATAGAGATATCCATCGAAACTACCGAAATTTCTATAAATTCTCGTATTGTCGGAGATAGGGGTGCCAATTCTAATGGATATCTCTGTCTAATAAATGATGGAAATTGCAGTAATATCCCAGTAATTACCAAAGTCTCCTGGAAATTACCGAAATTTCTAAAAATTCTCCTATTGTCAGGGATAGGGGTCCCAATTGTAATGAATATCTCTATATACTAGTTAATAGAAATTTCAGTAATTTCTCAGTAATTACTAAAATTACGTGGAAATTACTGAAATTTCTTAAAATTCGCAAACTTTTGTGGGTAGGTATCCTCCTCTGACATATGTATTTGCATATGTATACCTATCAAAGTAGAATTTTAGTAATTTCCGAGTAACTAGTAAAATCTCTTCGAAATTACGGTAATTTCTATAACTTCTCTTATTTTCCGAGATAGGGGTCCGTATTCTAATAGATATCTGATAAATAAGAAGTTTCAGTAATTTCGTAGTAACTACCGTGTCAGTATTGTTTACTTTACTACAGAAAGTGTGGGAAATTTCGGGTAATTACCATAATGGACTTAGGAAGTTTACGAAAATTTCTTTTACTTGATGGAGACTTCGAGTATTTTCCGTAATTTCTGTTTACTTTGGTAGTAAGTGCTTGGTAATTACTTTTGAAAATGTTTGCAATTTCGGAAATTACTGAGAGATTTTCTTTTTCGCTAGTGGGTACTTACCGAAATTTCTACGAAATTTGGTTTAGAGGTATTAGTGAATCTAGGTAATTTTGTAATTTTCTGTATTTGGTTTATGGATGAATCTGTATTGTGAATAGTAAATTATGGTAATTTCGGAAATTTAAACATACCTCTTCCGTACCTTCAGGTACCGTGCAAAGTAAGAAAAACAGAAATTAGCTTGAAGTTTTTAAAACGTTCGCGTTGTTTCGAACGGGTTATAGGTTCTTCACTTTTGCTTGGAAATGATCTATAATGGGTTATGTCAACTAAAGTAGTTTCCGTTAGGTTTTTAAATTGTTTCTAAGGCATATAAATAATATCACGAATGAGAAGCGACAATGCTCTATGTTTTCATGTGCTTTAAAAGTAACGTAGAGCTAGTTTGAAATGCATAATAACTGATAATAATTGGTGTACTTTCATCTTTGATATTTTTCAATACAGACTTTTAGTTTTCCTATGATAATTTTTTAGAAGAGTCTCAACAAGTGCGGTAATGCGCTACACAATTTTTGTTCCCTGTCGCATTCGTTATCGAGAGATTTCTCATACGACATCTGTAAACTACTCACATAGGGATTCATTTTTACACTCACGTCCAACAATTTCTGAAAGATTAATGCGATATCACAAAGAGTTTGTTGGCAAACAATATCGGAAAGTTGAGACTCTGGCGAGGAAAATCCCTAAACGTCTCTGATAACAAACTCCTGGACGCTGTCTATGATAATTAAGGTTGACTGGACCGAAGTGTCATTGCTTTAGTCTTCTTATCAGATAGAGCAGTTTTTTGTTTTGTCTTTAATAATAAATGTGTTAAAAGTGGATATGCGTCAACGTCAACATATATCGATACAATTAGTATGTTACTTATGAGAGGTGATGCATGTCGTTTTGCATGAAAGATTGTTAACACACAGTATAATAACGTTGGACAGTAGGAAATCATAAACCACAGTAAATAGAGAAGAAGTTTCTGGTTGAAAAGTGGACCGAAAGATAATTTATCATTCTCCATTCGAAAGAGTAAAAACACTTCTAGTTTTCTACAATTACATAATTTCAGACATATTCTATTGTAAGGAAAAAATATGCTTGATGAGAGAAACACATTTGAAGACACCGAAAGTTGCAAGGACTATTTTGGCGACGTTTGCTATTTAGATTTTTTCGCACTCAAACTCAATCAGGAAAAAATTTGTTCTCTATGTTTTGTGAAGTTCAGACTTTGTTTTTTACAACGGAAAAATAATTAACTCTACAGCACACCAGGAACAGGGACAAATAATACTCGACATTTGCACCATTACTTTTGCACCATATGTTAAATGTTGAAGTTGCAAGAATCATTACTATGGATGGAATGGAAAATGAGTATGCAGGCCAAACAATAACTAAGTTTTGATCCTGCCTAACGCAATTCACGCGATATAGCCACATAGTAGTACCATGATGAATACGCCATTGGTAACCATATTGAGCACATAGACGGTTGTAGGTAGTAGAAACTGCGTTCGTAAAGAAAGTTTAACGGTTTTCAAAACGTGACAAAATGTGTATCGTCGCTTGCCCGTGCCAGCAGGTAAACCATTCCCGAACCAGCCGAATTAATAAGAATCAAATTAACAGTACAAAGAATCGGATATTTGTCATGTAATTGAAGTGAATAAACGAGGATGTACTATAAGACGAAGGGTAACACAATAAACGAGAGTAAAACAGAATATATAACTGAAATATTGTTGAACTGGGTTTGTCTCAGAAATATATAGTTGCCAAAACAGCATAGACAATGAAATGATACAACTGAATGTTGTTCGCTGCACTAGTTGCTGTTGAATTATTCTTCGCCTCAATCATTTCCAATCTGGTTGTTAGCTTCGTTACTGTTAGGAGGATGAACATAAGAAAATATTTTCACGGCAGATGACTTTTGGAGAATGAAAACGACTGTGTTAATCGGTTTTTCTCTGCTTTTAATGTGATCTGCTCAAAAGAATAAGACCTTGAACGGGCATCTAGAAATAAAATTTTGCTGCATATGAAAGAAATGGTGCACAAATACTGATGCACTTGTTTGAGTGAGGGTATGTCATGAATTCATTCATAATGTATTATTCTTTATGTGTATCCCGATCGAGATATTAATTTTTTTCTACATCCTGATCGGATATATGAGATGGCTTCCTGCTGCCAGTCATCTCAACATTTCTAACAGATCCTTTAACGAATAGCTAATTAATAAAGTATTCCCCGACTGCTGGATCTCAGAATAAGTTATGTATTGATACTTCAGAAAAATATAATTTATTATTTACTTTGAAGTGTTTTTACATAAAACCATGACACAACTTTTATTTATGACATAATAAAAAAACTCCGTTGTTTTAAGGCTTTTACCTTTTTTGTCATAGTCAGCTTGTTTCCACTTTATAAGATATTTTTCTCACCTTAGTTCACTCTCTTGGTTCAGGTGTATTGTATTTGTCAGTAAAGAAAAAGTTCTAGATATTTAGGTTGCATGGATTTATCTAACTGTCTGATATACATAAACTGATTCTTCTGCTAAATATCATCTCAGTACATGCTCCACAACACTTGAATGTTCATCTTCAACGTAGAGATCCCGGTCTGTACACTTTACAATGCGTAAAGTTTCCTGCTTGGACAGGAAATCTTTTCGACTACTGCCAGTTCTGATGCCGTCATTTTCCGTGCTGCTCGCTACCGTGGCTATCGGCTACTCTCAATACCGCATATTCTGTACGATAGTGGATGCAGAGGGAAGCCTGAACTGCGATTAATTCTGATTTTGTTTGAATCGCCATGAGCTGTGACGTACCGATTAGCCGGTGACCAAAACGATCAGGTCAAGAATACCTCATGGGTTCCCGTTTAGTCTTTTCTTTCCGCTAAAATAGACCGACGAAAGTGGCAAAGAAACTTTTTTGGATATTTCACTCTAGTCAACTCAAACTAAACTTAAGTATATATGTGGAAAATCTCTCAAGAGTCAACAAAAAACACCCCTCATAGTTTTTTCTGTTGTTTCCTAAATACATCTCTAGCATTTAGATTTCATGGTTTAGTTTCTGCAGTTGTCTTACTAACATCCTTAGTTACATTTAATGGAAGAAACTATTTTCCTGATCTTCATTCAATCCACTGTTTAATAGTGGATTTCCGTCACGGACTTAATTGTTTGCATCGATTATAGCCTACATTACGAAAAATGAATTTTTCCTTCATGCCATTTCACTGGTTGGGTGTCCAAATAGTCTTTTTTTCGTGAAACGCCTATTTTTGCGGTTCTTCCACAGGTGAACCAGCTAGATCATTGGAAAACGATTGACAGCCATAACAAAGTAGAGAACGGATATTTGTGAAACCGCGAATTTAAATGAAGATATTCTCAAGATCCCGGCTCAATATAAATTCATTTTTTACACTAAAAAATAAGCAAAGTGTGTCGTGTGTCTAGGCACACATGCAAGGCGAAAGTTAGTATTAACATGACTAATGACTTTGTAGATCATGTTTTTCGTTAATTTTATTAATAAATGAATGAAGTCTAGCCAACCGATCAGCAAAGTCGCTGGTTTTCTCGAGTAATCACATAGCCATCGAGGCATAATCAATTGCCCATCTTTTCGCTACGATTCCAAGTTTATTGAACACCATTTGGCTGTAATAGCAAACGGCTAGTTTTTCATACTGCTCTGCTCTTTCGGAAAAACGATGTTAGAATATTAATTGGTGGATAGGCGATGACATTAGTGTTCAAATCAGCCACCTTCTTACCAATCATTCCGTGTGCCAGAACCAAAGTAGACCCATCTGATGGTCTAACCATATTCTGGTCATGTAAAAATGAATCCGACCTTTCGTGTGGCAAGCCGAAGGAATAACTAATCGTAGACTATAGAGAGCTGCATGATAGGGAAATAATGCTTGGCGCCATTCATCCTTTTCGCGCTCTTGAAAAACAGATCCAATCATTAAATTTACTAACACCCAACACGAATGACGACGAAAGTCATACGATGTTTCCTCGGTCTCTCCGACGAGCACATCAGCTAATGCATACAGATGGATCAAAGCAGCGTCGTACTCTTTTATTTCGATACAAATTTCTGCGATCCATTTGAGTATGGTCATTAAATCATCATTATTTGCTACTTTCAAGGTCGATCCACTTTCCCGTTTTTTCTTATATAAGACTATCGCTTCAGTTGCATTGAAAAATAGTTTGTTCGTTTCGATGACGTATTATATTGGCGGTTATTCGATGACGTTTTTGTCGATGATGTATTATATTGGTGGAAGAATAATAAACATACCTATACAACAGTAGCGAAATTAGCACAAATAATTCTAGGAATACCTGCTACATCATCTCCAGCTGAAGAAATATTTTCTACAACTGGTCTTATACTATCTGCTANTACAACAGTAGCGAAATTAGCACAAATAATTCTAGGAATACCTGCTACATCATCTCCAGCTGAAGAAATATTTTCTACAACTGGTCTTATACTATCTGCTAGTGAATATCATCGGCCCGATCCGTGGTAAGACTACTACACAGTAAAACAAAAATGTGTCTAATTTAAGGCGCTTAAAAGTGTCCAGCAAAAGAACGGTGTCCTGTAGCAGAACATATCTATAAATGTTTTGTACTAATAGTTTGTCCGTTTCTTTGCTTTTCTTTAACAAGTACGTCATGCGTACATGGTCGAACATCAGATAGGCGGTATTATCATACTGATCTTTTTTATCTTGAATCAGATACGTCGTATTGATTATTTGAGCACAAAGTTCAGTCGCTCGACTAGATGCACCTAATTCTTGGAGTACATTTAGACTGCTGCGGATCACTCATAGCATGATACCAAGTGTTATTTGCTCAGGGTATTTTGTTAGTGCACATTCATAATGATACCAAGCGCGAACGATATTTCTTGAAGGAGGATTATTCAATTGATGACAATCATCAAGACACATTTGCCAATAAGGAAGCCAATCAAGATCAAATGTCTAATTAATCAATAATTCATAAGTTTTAATTGCAGCATCGTAATCTTTCAGTTTAAAGTATCTTTCGGCAAATGCTGCAAAAGTACGGGCATCATGTTGGTTTTCGATTTTGATCGACTTTGATTGAACGCTATTTTCCTCCATCCACTTTCTAAAAACTTCCTTCGAGTTATCGTCTGAACCAACCAAAGATTGCTTTTCCGGCTGATTATTCTTTGTTGGATTGTTATGAATCAATGCTCGACGACTGATACTGCATTGTTTCGAGCATAAAAAAAGCATGGATCCACATGGACGATGATGAACAGCGGTGGAGATCGAATAGGGTTGTCCAATATTTCGGTTGGCTTTCACCAATTTTCTGAACAATTTTGGCCATAGAGACAGTTAGAAACGCGGCTGGTTGATAGACAGATGCATGGCAAAGCTTGTTCACGCTTTTTCTCAGGAACAAATGGATAATGACCAATTCACTCAGAGTCACTTTTGCGAAACACATCCATATAACTTACGTTCCTCGTCAATAGTGGCACTCAAAATATTTCTCTATATGCAACATAGTAACATCCAGCAAGCGTTGTTGCGCCAAAGATTGCTGCTAACAGATAGAAAAGCAACTGACAGATTTTTGTGTTTTCTCATTTGAGGATATTCTTTATGAGTGGCAGCTGTAATATGTGACAATGAAGATCACTTGTCGCCAAAAACACCGGTACACTATTTATTGTATGCCAAAATATCTAATGATCAATGGGCTTGTTACACTGCATTTCAGGGTGCCGAGCACATAGATGGTTCCAGCAGACTATTCTGGATATTAGAGGATTACTTTCTTGTACGATTTTATTCGATTTATGATATTGAAAACAATCGAGTAGGATTTGCTAAATCTGTATCATATGGCGTCGTGGCGAGACTACCTAGTGCATTATTGAAAGGTGGATAATCATAAACTCTCTTTTTATCTAATGTCATTCCTAATTCAAATTTAAAAAGAGGTTGTCACGTTTAAAAGTGCAACTGTATAACTACTTATAGAAACAAAAACAGCAGAGTGACACATCCAGATATGTATAAACATAACAAAAGAACATAAGGTAAGCGAGCGTGAATGAATATCAGTACAAAAATATATACAGCTATTAGATATTTTGGCGTACAATAAAGAGTGTAATGGTGTTACGCTTGCGTGAATAATTAACGAAATACTAAACACAATGCATACAGAAGAAGACAGATGTATAATACTTCGAATGGTCCGTTAGCAGAATCGATCTAGTATTTAAGTACAATTAGTGATAGGCGCATCCTGATGAAGTGAAACCAAGATAATAGAACTGAGATGATGCTTCCCTTCAAGGAAATACATATGGCTCATTTTTAGTGCGAGAGAGATGCGTGTATTGTCTTCCCATATCGTACATCATACGCAAAACAAACTGCTCGTGATGGTGTACTTTAAAATAAAGTTCGTAAAAAGATTTCAAAAGTATTTTACCTAAGCCGAACCTGGCGCAGAAAAGTACTCCCCTGTCCGCCTCATTCATAGCGTTGATCAAGGATAGTGAACAATACACAAATAGCAGTACTAATGCCTGTGTGTCATGCAGTATTTGTGCTTACTAAACCAATACTAGCATCCAGTTTGCCACCTATTAATTTATTTAATTAATTGCTGACTTGTGACGATGGACCAGTTATAAATGTTGTACTCATATCAGCTACGGCATAACATCCAGATGAACATACTTTTGTATTTAAAACACTAACACTATTCATGGAAAATTTCCAATAGCCTTTAAGGTTTACCGATGCATAGGTTATTGGAGCTGTGTATTTCGTTGTGTCAACACCATCTAATGATAATTTACCAGGTTGTGCTGGAAGTCTAAGCAAGAATTAACCAAACATTTCATCTTCGGAAGCAGAAAAGGATGCCTTATGACAAAATGTTTGCTCAATTCTTACCAGTAGTTAAGATATAAAAAGTCATCGTGGCGGAAAATTCTATAGAATAAAGTTCATCAGTACTTCTTTTTTGCGTTAAAGCACACACACACCTATTTAATATCAGATAGCTCTGAAAATTTCAGACTAATCTCTTGTGAATTCAAACCTCTTCTGATGCATTTTTTCTTCTGTTTTAATCATTACATTAAAGATTATACTCTTTTAAAGTGACCTTTGTACTCGAAAAAACATAATGTTTTGTTTACTTTCTTCAATCACACAAGAAAGAAATTTTTGTAGATTAACAGCTCAATTTTTCATTTTTCAAGGCGCATCTGTAGTAAAAACTTTTGCACGAAGGCGTCATGCTTTCGTTACGTCGTAGCGTAGACAGATGAAGAACATTTCACGCACTACTCGAGGGTCAAAGCACGTCAGTTTTCTCATCCAATTCTCTATCTCTGATAAAAGTATCCACCAAATCGAACCTTTCCTTCTACTTTTATCAATATACATCATTGTCATATCTTATACGATCTACATGACTGGATCATACGCGTTATTGTACAGTAGCTTGAAACAGAGAGACTACGTTGCGATTTTTTACGTTTTGGTGCTACTTTCAATTGTCTGCTGCAGTTTAGACTCGCCCGAGTATAGAGTCAGGGTGGGAACAAACCTACTGTTATGCTTTATACCACTAGGGCTATCTTAGTCAATTGCCGTCTCTTATTAGTTTAGTGTTTTTCAAGTTACTAGCTTTTCAAACGCTGTTTTTTTCGGAAAACGTATTGACATCAGACATTCGGTTGGAATTTATCTACCTATACAGTAAAACAGATCATCAATTTCAAACAAAGATATGACATATTCCAGTATTTGAAATACTTGATGGAAAGCATGCTTTTGAAAACATGGCATTACTGGTTTATGTACGATGGTGTACCGTTTCACCGCATTGAGATATAAAGAAGGACTCTGAAAATTATGAGAGGAAATTTTCAAACAACGAGAAGACAATGGTACGAAAGAAGAAACATTTGAACAGATAGACTGGATAGAAATGGTGGTTAGATTGAAATATCACCCAATTATATTTTCATTTAAATGTTTACTCTATATGGATTGCGTGACGATGAAATTAATCAATGTTTTAGCAACCCAAGCAAAAACGACCCAATTTTTTGGGTTATTTATCTAGATTCAGCTCCACGTACATCTAGATGCACGTGGACCTGAATCTAGATAAATAACCCAAAAAATTGGGTCG